TCCTATGATGCTGCTTGGCCTGCTGTGTTCATCCAGCCCTGCACCTTGTTGTCTCACTTTAACAATGGAGTTAACTTCTCCTGTTTCCTGGTTTTTAAATCAAAAATGTTGTCCATTCTTACCTTTAGTTGACAGGCTACTGAGGAATCAGCAGGCTCACTTATCAGGAATTACATTCTACAGGAATCCTCAGCTGGCTGTAAGCCATTAATTATTTTTTTCAAGTTGTCTTATGTCTATTTTGAAATGGATTTTACAAATGGGATCAATGCCTGAATAGATTGTGACAAAATTATGTCAAAGGGTAGAAATACCTCAATATACATGCATAGGAGCATCCTACTACAAAATATAGGGACACAATTGTTTTTATTATTCAGTTAGGGAACGCAATCAGATTTCTGCATACGTAAATAATAATGTACATTTCTGACAAGTTGACTCACAAATGTCAGTTTACAGTCCGGACTTGCAATTATCAGGAAGCATCAAAATCATGAGTGTTTCTGAAGAATTGGTTAATGACTAAGCAATTTTCTACATCCCAAGGAAGATTGTACAAGTACAGCGCATTTAAGCAAAATACCTCGAATTTCTTGAGTTAATTTGTTGATATTCCACACAGCAATTCAATGAAAGAGAGTGGTACAAAGCGAACAGGGAATCTTTGACATGGTGTGGTATGATTACCAAGCTCGCTGAGTTAAAAATAGACGGTACAGACATATTATTCAGTTGGTGTCATAACGTCTTCAGTGGACAAACAGGACAGAATTAGGCTTTTGAGCACTTCATGTTTATCCTGGACATTTTTTTATCCTGCTTGCTTGAATTCTGCATAGTGTTCTTATATTAAGTAGCCTGAAGATGCTGCCGATGTTAATGCAGAGGAATTGCTGTTTACAGTAATACTAAACGAATGGTTGAAGTATTCAGATGGCAGCTCTGTACTTGCTGTTTGAGGCATTAACCTATTTAAAATAAATTAGTTTATGTTAAAGTTGTAGATAGTGGAACCTCAGACAGTTTGTGCTAAGTCCCTGTACACCAATATATAAGATACATAAAAACACAAGATGAAAGAGCAGCAGGCCTTTCAGCCCTTCAGTGCTCCTGTACAATTCAGTCGGATCAAGGCCAAATGTCTACACTGAAACAACTTAAAATGTATTCAGTGAATTGTATGATTTTACGGAGGAGATCTCAAAATAATTAACTTAATCAGTTTTTAAATTTTATTATATAGCAGAATAAGAAGAAAATGTTTAAACCTGTGAACACATGTGAGATGAAGACCTACATTTATATTGTGCCATTGGAAGTTATATTGGCCTGGTCTGCTGGCACAACCCAGACACTATGAATGAACAGCCCCTTTTATATCCTCCGTGATATTCCTGTCCATTCCATTACACAACTACCAAGATGAATTTCGCAGCCCCCTGTGTCCCCAATATTTCTGAGTCTAATTTGTGTCTGTTAATGCGAATCCATTGAATATTTTCTATCAGATTCAAGGAAGAGGCTGGTGGATGAAGAACAATTTTATTTATATTTAGCTGTGGGTTTGCAGGCAGAGAAGTACAACTGTTGAAGTAGCATGCAGAACTTTCCTGTTCTTGTGTTCAGTGGTTTTCTCATTTTGCGTTAAAGTTATTCTAGAGAGAAAAAGAATGGACTACAATGCAGAAGTACCTATCAAGAAGCAGCTTGCAGATGCAACAAGATTCACCGGCTTAAGCAGAGGCTTTGGTCCATTAACAATGCCCCTGCCTTGGCATCAACGCCAGAGACACGGTAAGTGCATATTTAATAATAACAAAAAATGGGAATCAGTCCATTTTGTAACCTTTACACAGGAAGGCTAATTGTTTCTGATCAGTGTGCTTGTGGCATGAGCCAAATGCAACTGAAAGAGCACAAGTTTTGAAAGCATATCCAGGTACACCATTGTTTTTATTATTCAGTCAGAGAATGTGGGCATCACTGGCAAAAACAATAATTATTATCAATGCTAGGTACTCTAGAGATATTTCTTCTTGAACTGCTGTTGTCAATGTGATGAAACCATTCCCACAGTGCTGTTAGATAGGGAGTTCCAGAATTTGCAATGAGAATGTAACAATGATTTACTTCAAAGTCAGAATAGTGTGTGACTTAGGAATGCACTTGCACATGGTGGTATTCCTAATGGTTTCCTGCCTTTATCTTTGTGGATGCTAGAGGTTACACGTTTTGAAGTGGCTGTCAAGAAGTCTTAATGAGTTCTTGCTGTGGATTTTCTAGATGATACGCACTTTAGCCACAGTTCACTACGAATGAAGAGAATTAATGTTTAAGATGGTGAACAAGGTGCCAATCAAGTGGGCTGCTTTGTCTTTGATGATGACAATCTTCTTGAGTTTTATTTGAACTGCATTCACACGTCATATGATAAGATGGAGAAATTGAATTTAAAACAATCAATGTAATACCAGCAGGCTTCTTCATGGCCATAAACCAACTAGAATTAACTTCATTTGATTTTTTACAAGCTAACAAAAGTGACTTTTACACTATACTAACTATATTGTTATCTTCAAAATACTGTTTCAAATGTACTCAATTTCAAGAGAAAATATTTGATTGAATCATAGACCTGCTGCCAAAAAAAGGCAGTGAGAACAGAGAGACCTCCTCTTTGAGCAACTGCCATCAGTATAAATTAGTGGCAGAAAAATAAATGACAGCATTCTGACAAATAATATTCATGGATGTAGTTAAAATTCAATCTAATATTTTACCTCTTGTTTTAAGTTACTGAAATTTATTTTATTTATTGGAGATTTCCAGTAGGTTCCTGTACTTGAATGTCCAGTTATGATATTGAACAGTGCTTAAATATGGCTGTGATCACATCGACAAAACTTAAAAAAAATTGTTGCTCTTATTTTGCTATCTTACTGCACAATATTGATTAAAGAATTCAGTTACAAGCCTCTTGGTAAAGATGGGACACTGTGATTTTGAAAACTACATACATATTGAATGGTTAGATATCTTTTGATCTAGTATAATGTACCTTATTTTCTGCTATAAAACACAATGGCAATGCTTGATAATGTGAATAATGTGTATTCTGAACTTTCGCAAAGCTCTGGTTAGACCATATTATCAGATAGGGATCAGGTCATCAGACTTTAGGTCCTTGAGGGGGTATGTAGGAAATTTACCGGCATGGTTCTGGTAGTGAATGAACTGAACTACAAAGATAAGTTAAGAAGTTGAGATTGTTCTCTTCATAGCAAAGCAGGTTGAGAGTAGACCTGATAGAGGTATATAAAGTGACAGGTTTAGATAAAGTTGGCAAAAAGAATGTTCCTATTAGCTAGTGTTTGAAGAATTCCTTAAGAGATACGGATTTAAAGTCTTGGGCAAGAGATGCAGGGAGATGTTAGGAAGAACTTTTTTTTTGTGCAGCAAGTGGTAGTGACCTGGAACTGTTTTACAAGTAAGTTTCTGCTATTAGCATTAAAATAATTGCGCTTATTTTTTCAGATTTCCACTTTTCATACTTGCTTCATACTCTCGTTAAGTTTTATTATTTTCCTGCATTTCCACTTCACCATTCATTTAGGCACACTTTTTGTTTCACTTGAAGCTCCCTCTTATTTATTTGTTAACCAAAGATTTTTAAATGCAATAGGCTTAAATGTGAGACTGTTTCTATTGTACTGGTTCATATTTCAATGCTTTAATAACTCTAATTAGAGGTAACATTATATCAGGAGGCATACGGAGCATAAAACTACATAAAGCCTAAGGTATTACATTCTTTCATGAGTATTCCTAAACCAATGGTTTTATAGATTCTGCAATATAATGCACAAAATATAGACCTAGAAACCTACTGTCCTCTGATCAGTTAAACTATTTTGTTATAATAAGAATGAATAAGGAAATCATCTATTTGCTGATCTTGAATGCTGTAGCTTTTTTTTTGTGAATTCTATAATTAGTGGAAAGGATCACTCCAACATTGATGATTGACATGCATGTTCTCTTGTGCTTTGTTTAGCTGAGACAGGGATACCCTACTCTGTAAAGGCAAAGTCACCATAGTTCTTGCAGTCCATAAGGCTGCTCTCTCATTAGAGAGAGGCGACTGGTGGTGGTTTAACATGAGGGTCAACACACCTCAGTTTAGGAGAGAGGTCGAGAAGGAGAGTCCTTCATGGTAACCTCAGCCAGTGTAGGAATTGAACCCATGCTGTAAGGTATCAGGTATGTGATAAGCTTCTAAAAGCAAACTTTTCTTCTGTGATTTTACAAGTGAAATGACTTAATATACTTTGCTATGGGCCATTGGTACTAGTAAAGTCAGGAAATGAGAACAAAGAGGTGAGAGAGATTGATGGAAACGACTTATAAAGTGTGAAAGTGACATTCTACTAATTTAAGCAGTACCTTAAATTAGAAAAAAAAACCAAAATTACCATAAAAGACATTGGATGGATACATTCCATTAAGTGGAGTGACCTTTAACTGTGATCGTGAAGGCCTCTTTAGTAACCGAGAACTATTGTGTGAGATGGGTGAATAAAATCATTGCCTGTTACAGATTAAACAACTAAAATAAATGAGTTGTAATGTTTTTTTTACCTCACCATGGTCACCAAACATTTGTTTCTTTTTTCTCTCTAAAGTTCTCAGAAAATAAATATGCAAAATTTACAGTTGAAGTGAAATAAAGGGCCATGTATTTTGTCTTAGTGGCAGTTTTTTGTTCAGTGTAAAAGGATAGTTACAAATTTCTTTTTTCCATAGTTATTTTCCCATGTATATGTTGTTTCCTGGATCCCTCTCTGACAGGTCCCAAGTTTGTTCCTGGTTTTGTTTAAAGGGAAAACCAGTAAAAAAAAAACACTTGTGAATGAACAAACTGGTCATAGCAGAGCACCGTTTTGAGTTTTACAAAACAAGTCCAACCAGTATTCATCATTCACAAGATTTATTGGTTTCTACTCCATACTGATATGTTACCATCCAGATTGTGCAAACTGTTTTTCTGATGGTCTTCAGGTTTTTTGGGGAGGAACCTTCCATTCTGGGCTCAAGAACAGTCTTTTGCTTTTCGTCCCATGTTGTGACAATGACTACACTTTAAAAAGTATTTCAATAGTTTCAAAATGCTTTGAGATATCCTGAAATTGCGCCAATCACTAAATAAATACAAGTGTATAATAAAACAAAGAACTACGGATGCTGTAAATCTGAAAGAAAAACAGAAATTGCTGGGGAAGTTGAACAGGTCTGGCAGTAGAGTCACTGGACCTGAAGCATTAACTTTGGTTTCTCTCCACAGATGCTGTCACGCTTGCTGGGTTTCTCCAGCAATTTTGTTTTTTTTTCTTTCAGATTAATAAAAGTCTTTTTTACCCCTTTTTATTTACCTGTTTGACCCCTCCACCCACACTGCTAGATTTCACACTGTCCATACTGAACCGAAAAAGAAAGGCATATGCAATTAACATCTTGAGAATAGAACTGAAAGCACGCAGAGAATTGGACGGGTGAAAGTGCCAAATGGATAATTCCTACCATCTGGCAGATGCTCAATCATGACAATGACATCACAGAGACGTATGTAGGACCCTTTTCAAATTTCCTCAAGCTCCAGTGTAAATTAAATTTCCCATGACAAAAAAGGAAGTGTAGTCAAAAAACAAAGAACCACATAACTTCTTTCCTGGAACCAAACCTGAAGTATTAGTTCAGTCAGAGATTAAAAAAATGAACCAGACTGGATGATTTATCTAATTTTAAAAGGTTATGTGGTTCTCTGATGTTCCTGGTGATAAGTCAGAGGGCATGCTATTTTATGGAGACAAGAAACTTAGACCATGAGATCATGCAATGTTTTATATAACTTTAAATTTCCTGTAACACAACTCAGATTCCATAAAAGATTATAATCTAAAAAGGATGGAGTGAGCTGCTCTGACACTAAAATTGTGTGTGGCAGAACTTTTCATCTATATCAGCACCTTTGCTCTGATCCCATCCCAAATCCTAGGAATGAGGTTAATTGAATAGGGAGATGGTCGCCTTGGAGAATCCTTGCTGCCGTGTTTATATTGTCTGAGAGGTTGAAAGGGATAAATGTAACTTGATCATTCCTCCTATGCATTTATGTTGTTCTTTAAATGGTAATTGACCTCTCCAGAGATAATAAGAACTGCCGATGCTGGAGTCAGAGAAAACACAGTGTGGAGCTGGAGGAACATAGCAGGCCAGGCAGCATCAGAGGAGCAGGAAAGCTGACATTTCGTGTCGGGACCCTTCTTCAGAAATGGGAGAGGGGAAAGGGGCACTGAAATAAATAGAGAGGGGTGTGGTCGGGCTGGGGAAAGTAGGTGGGATGGTGATGGGTGAGTGCAGGTAGGCAGTGAGGTGGGAGGAGCGGATAGGTGGGAGACAAGATGGACAGGTCAAGGAAGCGGGGATGAGGCCATGGTGGGGAGATTTTGAAGCTAGTAAAGTCCACATTGAGACCATTGGGTTGTAGGGTCCTAAAGCGGACTATGTGGTGCTGTTCCTCCAATTTCTGGGTGGCGTCATTGTGACACTGGAGGAGGCCCAGGATGGACATGTCATTCAGGGAGTGGGAGAGGGAGTTGAAGTGGTTCGCGACTGGAAGGTGTTGTCGTTTGTCATGAACCGAGCGCAGATGCTCTACAAAGCGGTCTCCGAGCCTCCGCTTGGTCTCACCTAGGTAGAGGAGGCCACATTGGGAACAGTGGATACAATAGACCACA